CGATATTTTGATGATTTTAGCTACATTATTCACTGTTTATTTCAAGTTTCGAATTTGAATATGGTAATGGCTTATGACAAACAATGCCTATGTATGTCCACGTCGTATAGACCCCAATATAACGGCTATATTCGGTATTTTTAAAATTTTAAAAGAATTTTTTAAGGATTTTATTTTTTAAAAATTTCCAAATTCGTTGCAAATGGTGGAGGGTATTAAAAGTTCGGCCCGGCCGAACTTACTGCTTTTTAACTTGTTTTATTTCAAATAGTATAAAACAATGCTATATTACTAATTCACAGTTTAATCCAGAATTTGAAATTAGTTTCGTTTTTAAATAGTGTTTTATTTCATTATCATTCTAATCCAAATATAGGTAGAAAATCAAGAATAGTATGGTTACCTTCAGTAACGTATGGATTTTTAATTAAAATAAAAATGAGATCAAAAAAGTAAAAAAACTTTAAGTTCGGCTGGGCCAAACTTTTAATACCCTCCACCTTAGGGTAAAGGAAATATTAGAAAAAATGTGGCAAAAATCATTAAAATGCCGAATATCGTTATATGGGGGCTATACCAAATCGTGGACCTACACATGATATGTTTCGCCAACGGAGCTAGAACCCATTATGACCTACAAATACCAATTTTCAGAGAAGTTCTTGAAAAAATGTGTCAAAAATCATCAAAATACCGAATATTGCGAGGTACCGTTATATGGGGACTATACCAAATCGTGGACCTACACATGCAATGTTTCGCCAACGGAGCTAGAACCCATTATGACCCATAAATACCAATTTTTAGACAAATTAGTGAAAAAATGTGGCAAAAAGTCGATTTAACGATGTCCGTCTGTCTGTCTGTCGGTCTGTCTGTTGAAATCACGATACAGCTCACATTATTTGACGTAGAGCGTCAAAATTTAGCAGAGCAATTGTTATTGTGTCAAGGATGGTTGGTATTGATGGCTACCTCCCGATATTCAATATTTTGATGATATATGCCACATTTTTTCTGAAAATTGGTATTTGTAGGTCATAACGGATCCCTGTACGTGTGGCAAAACATTGCACGTATAGGTCCACGTTTTGGTATAGGCCCCATATAAAGGTACCACCCGATATTCGGTATTTTGATTATTTTTGCCACATTTTATCACGGATTTGTCTAAAAATTGGTATTTGTTGGTCATAATTGGTTCCAGCTCCGGTAGCGAAACATTGCATGTATGGGTCCACGATTTGGTATAGCCCCCATATAACGGTACCTCCCAATATTCGGTATTTTGATGATTTAAAATTTTCAAGAGAATTATATTGAACTTGGTCATTGTATTTCGTAATGGGCACCTCCTTCTCTGGCAGACAATTCCCTGTAAAGGTCCACGTTTTCGTACAGTCCCATATAACTATAACGCTTGATATTTGGATTCTTTTGAATTATAACGGCATTTTTCAAAAGATATATTATACATTTTGCAAGTTCCAAATGGCGGCCGGGCCTAACCTATCTACTTTTTTATTTGTCATTTTTAAACAGTTCGTAAATATTAATTATTAACACAATTAACGAAGCCAATATTCACAAAGTGTTGCCACATATTCTTGTCTTGAAAAATACGTTTGAGTTGAGCATTGATTCATTTCTTTGCGCTCCAATTACAGAAACAATTGAAAAACCCGCATCGTGAAAAAATTAAAAAATTTTCTCACAATAAATCTTATTTAAACAGAATAGTTTTTGCAATTTCCTCTTCTACAGTACTTTCTAATAATTTTTTTTAATTCTCTTATGTTGCCATATTAACACTGAATAATAGGATTTTCGTAATTGGCAAAATGGATCGGAATTTGAACAAGCTAATACTTCGTTCTACGGAATTCAAACCATTTTGATTTTAATTTGTGACATGCCTGATAAACACAGCAACATAATCAAATGTTATAAAAACTTTTATCTGATCAAAAAGGATATAGAAAATAAGAATATAAAATATCTTGAAATAAAATTCCGTTTACAAATAAAGAACAAACACTTATTTTTGGAATTGTTAAAATCGATTTCGCAAACAATAGTCTAATTTAAAGAAAATTGTAGTTCAATAACAATTAAACCTGTCAGAAATAGAAGTTCCATTGTAAAACTTAACTACAAAAATACAAACTATTGTAAAAAAAATAAATGACCTCCCTTTCGTCTAAATTAAAATTAAATAACAAAACAAGTGATAATTTTTTATCAAAATTAAAAAAAAAAACAATCACAACACAATAGTACAGTTTCAAACGATATTTTTGTATGGAATTTAAAGTACTAGATACCCAAAAGGGTGGTAGAGTTTAGCATATGTAATATTTAGTAAATACTATCTGACCGTCGCTGGCTCGTTGTTTTTGTTTTGAAAGATCTTGCTTCCAATGAATGAACATACTGTAAACGTTTATAAATAACAATCGGGCCTACCGTTCACACCACCTTGAGCTAAGTAAATTGAGGGGAATATGAGAACCCGTAGAACATTGCTGTGTTCATGGCCGCCAATATGTTCAATTGCTAATTTTAGGGTTTTAAAAATATAAGGTAGTTTGTTATTGCACTCATTAAACCCTATCGGATTTCCTAATTCATTGTTGTAGATTTCTATACCACATGACATAAATGTATCTTGGTTTTGAAACAGGGCGTAGTAATAAAACCAAACCCTGTTAAATTAAGTAGATTATTAATATAGTTATCCCTACAAAGTTTAAATAAAATATAAGCAATAGTTTTTTAACTGGCTATTAAACGTTCAAAATGAAATATACGATCGATTGCGAAAGATAAAGCGTTTTTAAGAAGGGGACATGTGGAAGGGACCTCGCCCCTTAAAATTGGGTTTTATAGATTTCTATTAAATTTGGATACAAATATCAAAAATTTTTATTTTCACACGCTACGGTAGTTCCTTTTCCCATTATGTAAGCTAAATTTTGAAATAAAAGCGAAGATAATCTTTTTCGATAGTAGTAAATACTAGAAGATTTTGATTTTTTTGTGCGCGAAATTACGAGTTTTAGAAAATTACTGGGAATGACCCACAACTTTAATTCACATTAATATAATTTTATATATTTATTAGTATATACTTTTTATATTTTTAATGTTTTATAGTTATTAATTAATTTCCACACATTGCAGAGTTTGCCAAATATTTGTAAGATTTTAGTTTGAAATTTAACTAAATTTTGAGGTTTTATAATATTGAGAGATTCGGGGCAAGTATTTCGTGAAAGCTTTCAAAATTTTAGCCCTATAGTGTGTTTGAGAAATTTGTAAAATTGTTTTTTTCCGTTCTTGGTATATTCCACGAAATAGTATTTAGTTTTTTTATCTAATTTATCAGAGCAATTTGTGCTTTACTTCTTTTCCTCTCACTTATGGTATTAAAGACTTTATAAAACCTTCAAAATTCCATTGAGATGTTTAACGCTCATTTTGGATCCATACTTTACCATTAAAAGTTGTTTATTAAACTTATTGGAGAAATAAACCAAAAGTAGGAAAGATGCTGTGATTTTATGATGACATCAAAATATGGAATAGAAGCTGTCGATCAAAAGTATTATTAGAAACACCGCTTGAGACCCTAGCAAAATTATCCAATACAAATCTTCCGAAAACATCGGCGGATTCAGACTACGCTTGACTGTATCATAAGAATAATAATGTAAGTTTTTGTATTGTGGATTATGTTTCAAATTCGGATGCCGTTTTTTAAGGCGATTCAATCCATATACATTAATAATGCCCGTCTAAGCGGTATTTAAAGACTTTTCCGTTTGGTGCGGATCCCGACTGGTCTCTAAGTTATCAGTTACAATCACATTACTCGTTATTACTTAGCTCGTAATTTAATTTGTTCAGCAAATCGAACACGTAAATTGAATTGAGCAATGGCAACTTTGAATCGAATTTACTCAGCATCATTGTTTGTTTAACCATTCAATCAAGTTGGTGGAGTTTACTTTGACTTTTGTAATAATTGAAATGTGAGAGTGCTACTACTACACACTACCTGGTAAACGAAATGGTCAAAGTTTTGTTCAAAAACATTTGTGAGTTTAAATTTTTTTGATTAAATATCATTAATGTTATTCTTTTTTTAAAAATAATTATTTTGTTTTAAATAAGTCAATGAAGTCTAATATATCAAATACCTAAATATATTTAAATACCATGCCAATAATACCATTTGTACCGATGTTTGCAGAATGTAAAGAGTAAATACTCTTCAAAACTTTATTTTGGTACAGTTATGTTGAATATCGTTCAAAAAGAAGATTTGTGTCCTGCTAGCGCTTTGATAGATCCTGCATTAGAGTCTATTTATATTTATTTCAGGGCGACTTCAAACCGCCTTTGAAGCTTCCAGTTATTGGTTCGCTATCGGCTCTTAGGCATTAGAAAAATATGTTGTAATGTAGCGTACAATTTCGAAATAATTAGATTAGAGCTTTACTGGCTCGTTAGGGCAAGTAGCACATTTTCTAACTTTCTATACTACTCTTGACTTAGAAGAGTAAAGCAAATTTACCACACATTATTGAGATTCTGGGAACCTGAGAAAAAAGGCTCATTTCTGTGAATAGAATTACGACCGGACTTCTCATAGGGATTCAGAGGGTAGATATTTTGTCATACTATTTAAACCTGAGATTGGCGCTACCGCATACTAGGGAGAATCTCGCGCAAATGTTTTAAATTTAAAATGAAATGACAAATTCAGCTGTCTTGGCGATAAATCCAATGACATCCATTGTTTGAGCCTTATGACTTCCCTATGTAGAATGTATTATGTACTTTAGCTTTTCAGTTGCATTTCGATGTGTAAGTTAGTAAAGGTTAAAACGTACATTTAATATTTAATTATAAATAAAAACTAGAATAGAGAAATAATTTATTAACTAATCAACAAATTATTTTAGGTGTATGACTTACTACAATATTTTACATACCCTTTGCTTGGAATTGTCCACATATCGTAGTCCAAAGTAGTCTCTTTCCTTAATGTTCAGCTGATCACAAATATATTCGACCAAGTAATTCCCTCTGTGAAATGGCTTAAAAAAAAGCAGATGTCACTTCATGTATGTTGCTTGTCATATTATTAATTTAAAAAAATAAAATAGTAAGTCAAGAGTTATTGTATATTAGTTATTAAAGGTCAATAAAAATTGAGCTCTGGCATATGGGCCCACAACATAAAACTATGTATAAAGTTTTCTATGCGAAATTTGTTTTCAGATTTTTTGTGAAACTTTTCAAGAATATGAAGTAAGAACATCAATTCTTTAATAAAAAAATATATGTTTCTTAGTTTGAAAGTTATGACAACCAAAGATAAGAACTCAAGCAATCAATAATATCAGTGATCATTTTAACTTTTCTTGTGAACTTTTGGTCATGAAATGACCAGTAGTTCACAACGGGTTCGCACGGTCCAGCGACCTGTTAAATGTCCTTCAGTTTGTAACACCTCTTAATATTTGCAATAGACCCCATCAAGTTTATATATTCATTATCTGCTTAAAATTTTACGTCGATTAGACATTGTCCGTCTTTCCGTCAATCCGTCTGTTGAAATCACGAAAAAACCCAATATTGTTTAACGTAGAGCTTCAAGTAGTTTGTATTTTGTATAGGATGGTTGGTATCGAAAATGAGGTATATCGATCCACGTTTTCTTACAGCCCCTATATCAAATGACCCCAAAATGACCACATTTTCCATGGAATTGTTCCAAATTTGTTATTAAGAGTTTTTAAAGGGTTCAACTTCCGGTGGCAGAACAATGTCTGCATCGCTCCACGTTTTGCTATAGCACCCATATAACACTACCTTCGAATATTTTGTATTTTGACAATTTATTTATTTATTTATTTATTAACAATTATATTTATAAGTTAGATTACAAATATAATAAATAGTAGTAGCTCTAGCTGCTGAGGCCATAAGCTAAAAAGATTATATACAAATATAATAGTTTTTAAAGAATAAAATTTAAACAAGTTTATATATAGCGATGTATGGCAGTTTGTTTTATATAATAGAAGAATTGAGTATACTGAATGATTACTAATTTATTTTAAATGTAATTATAAAGGTTGCTTCTTTTTAGAATGTGTATTACTTCCACAAGTTTTGTGGTATCAGCGTTTTTTAATGTATCAATTAAATTAATATTGGGGAAAAGTGATTTTGTATATTGTTTGACATGTTGACAATTTGACAATAGGTGATTCATATCAAATGTGGTAGATTTGCAGAAAGTGCATTCCTTTTGTATGTCTTTGTTAATGATATGGTCGTGCGTTGCGCTAGAATGTCCTAACCTTAGGCGAATGATTTTTATTTGGTCGCGCCTTGACAGTAGTTTTTTATTGTGAATATATGTTTTGATATTTGTTTTGTTATTGCTTATGGATTTATACCAGTCGGAGCAATTGTTCCATAGAGAACTTCTTTTACAGTTAAACTGTGTTTTAACAAAATTCTTGATATCTTTAGTAAGTGGAAAATTGAAAGCTTCCTTTGCAACTAAATCTGCGAACTCATTACCTTTTATGTTGGAGTGTCCCGGGACCCAGACTAGTAAATGTTTTTCATAGTTGATAATGTCCCTTATCAACGATGCATAGATGTTGTTATTATTGGGATTAGCAGTACAATCTAATGCTGACAAAGAGTCAGATACAATGGCAAATTTACCTTTTAAATATTTGGTATAATTAATTGCCTCATAAATGGCTATTATTTCTGCGGAAAAAACGGACGAATATTCTGGTAAAATCGAGTGGAGTTGTGCCTTTAAGTTGATTGAGAGAACATTTAAATTCAAATAGAGTTATGTCATTTTCTAGAGAGCTGGCATATTTGTTCGGAACTAGAAATCTGGGATTTTGACAATATTCTTTCTTATGGTATTGAAATACATCAGGGAAGTTACTATCTTCAGACAAAGTAGACCAAAAAACACAGAAACGGTTTGCAATTTGTAAAGGGTCAAAAATCTTGTCACCATTAATATCCGAAATGCAATGTATAGATGTTTTAACGTTTATACCACAAAATCTGCGGATATTGTTCCAAATTTTTCCTGTTGTGCTAAGGTTACTAATTTAAGAAGTAAAGTTTTCTACAGATTGTTGTTTGGCAAGCTTTAAATCCCTCTTGTAAATAGCATTAGCTTTTCGATAAGGTTAATATTTGTGATATTTCTTCTGAAAACATTTAGGAGTCTGTTTCTCGTTCGCTTGAATTCTTCTAGTTTACTGTTCCACCAGGGAACAGATCGTTTATTAGACGGAATTTTGATCTGGGGTATTGACTCATTAGCTGATTGTATAATAATTTTTTGAATGTTTGCTGTTTCTTTATTTATATTGCTACTATATGGCTTTTCGTTAGATAATTTTTCGGACACATATAAATAACGGTTCCAGTTGGCTTTCTTGGTATTAAAAGGCGGTTTGAGTCGATGTTGATGTATATTATAGTTTTGTGAAAAGAGAGTTGTAATTATAGGAAAGTGATCGCTTCCATAGAGGTCGCTTTCGATTTTCCAACTAGCGTACATTGATAAAATTGGTGAAATTAATGTAAGATCAATGTTCGTAAATGTTTTATGTGTAGAGAAATGTGTTGGTGAACCATTATTTAAAATCATTAAGTTAGACTGAGTTATGAATTTTGCTAATGTGTTTCCTCTAGAATTGCTGGTTTTAGAGCCCCAAAGGGGATGCCAACTATTCATATCACCTGCAATAAGTATGTGATTCGTTGGTGTGAAAAGATTTTCAAGATCGTTCATTTTGAATGACCTTCGATTTTCCAACTAGCGTACATTGATAAAATTGGTGAAATTAATGTAAGATCAATGTTCGTAAATGTTTTATGTGTAGAGAAATGTGTTAGTGAACCATTATTTAAAATCATTAAGTTAGACTGAGTTATGAATTTTGCTAATGTGTTTCCTCTAGAATTGCTGGTTTTAGAGCCCCAAAGGGGATGCCAACTATTCATATCACCTGCAATAAGTATGTGATTCGTTGGTGTGAAAAGATTTTCAAGATCGTTCAATTTGAATGACCTTGAAGGGTTTAAATAAGTAGAATATAAGTAGAATGTTTGTCTTGAAATGATTTTCACAACTATTGTATCCATATTGTGAACACTGTCAACAAATTCATGTTGAATTGAATTATGAATTAGTATCGCTGAATTTTTTGAATTATATAAAGAGAAATTAATAGGTATTGGAATGTTAATAGTTGTTTTGAAGTGAGTTTCTTGCAAACATATTACATTTGGACTATGCTTCTTTATTAAAACTTGCAGCTCATTATAGTTGTTAAGGTAACCTTTAATATTCCATTGAATAATTATTAAACCCATAAGAGTATGTTACGGAAAAAAGAGAAACAAGTAAAAAAACATTAAGTTCGGCCGGGCCAAACTTTTAATACCCTCCACCCTAGGGTAAAAGAACATTAGAAGAAATGTGGCAAAAAACATTAAAATGCCGAATATCGGGAGGTACCGTTATATAGGGGCTACTCCAACACGTGCACCTATAATTACAATGTTTCGCCACACGAACTAGGACCCATTATGACCCACAAATACCAACTTTTACACAAATCAGTGAAAAAATGTGGCATAAATCATCAAAATATCGAATATCGGGAGGTACCGGGGGGGAATATACCAGAACGTGGACCTATACATGCAATGTTTTGCCACACGCTCAGGGACCCGTTGTGACCTACAAATACCAATTTTCAGACAAATCCGTGAAAAAATGTGGCATAAATCATCAAAATACCGAATATCGGTAGGTACCGTTATATGGGGGCTATACCAAAACATGGACCTATACATGCAATGTTTTGCCACACGCTCAGGGACCCGTCATGACCTACAAATACCAATTTTCAGATAAATCCGTGAAAAAATGTGGCATATATCATCAAAATACCGAATATCTGGAGGTACCGTTATATGGGGACTATACCAGAACGTGGACCGATATATCTCATTTTCAATACCAACCATCCTAGAGACAATACACACACTTGTGCCAAATTTCAAAGGTCTACGTCAAATAATGTGGGCTCTATCGTGATTTCAACAGACAGACAGACAGACAGACGGACAGACAGACAGACATCGCTAAATCGTCTTAGAATTTTATGCTGATTATGAATATATATACTTTATGGGGTCTACGACGAATATTTAGAGGTGTTGCAAACGGAATGACAAAGTTAATATACCCTCCTACCCATGGTGGAGGGTATAAAAATAGCATAGAATAAGAGAAAGGTAGCAATAAGTACATTGAAGTATATTTTTGAGTATTACTTTGTAGTTGTTTTAAATATCACTATCCATTCCTTCGCTTTCCGTATTGTTTGTGCATATTTTTTTGTTGTTTTTAGTTGGAGTTGTTTTGGTTCTCAATTCATTTCTCGTGCGCTTAGAAGTATTCTTTGGGAGAATAGTGACAGTCATTGCTTTTTTCCTATTCATGGCTGCTGATGTTGTAGGACGTTCATTTATTTTACTTTCTTCTTTTTTCTTTGCTGGTTTGTTGATTGTTTCAGTTTGTTGAACTTCATCATATTTGACGACTGTGCGAATTGTTTTTGCAAATGAGTTGTCGTTTGGATGGCGCTGCTTATATTTTTGTATTGCAGTTTTGTTATCCACCTTTTCTATTGTTTTTATGGTTCGAATTTCTTTAAACTTGAGAACGACGGGACATTTTTATTGAGAACGGAGTGATTGTAATCGCTCCGGTTCTCTTCGGTGCAGTTTATACATTTGGTTGTTTTTTCACAAAGTTCATCGTCGTTCAAATGTTCTTCTTCACCGCAGTTTAAGCATATCTTGTTGTTGCGGCATAGTTTTGTTGTATGTCCATATTGAAAACACTTGCGACATAATAATGGCATTGGTATATATGGACGAATTAGAGTATTTTCGTAACCAATGTTAATACTGTCTGGCAAGTTGAGGGAGGAGAATGTTAATATTATTAGTCCAGTCTCAACGGGTG